TGATGAACAAGTTTTAGGATTCCTAAAAAGCCATTTGACAGGTGATTTTTATACTTGGATGAGAATTGCTAATCCAGTAGGTATTAATGCATTTTTCACCGAACTAAAAAACATGTGACTGGAACACGTACCAAATTTGAATGGTCAAGTTTATCAATAATCTTCCTATAACACCAAAATAATAGAAGCTCCTATGCCCGATACACAAAAAATGATTAATGAGGTATTAGCGAAACAAAAATCCAATTATGATGCTGAAATAGAAAAATTGAAAAAGGAAGTTTAATCCTCCAAAGTACAGAAAACACAGGTACTGGTTCCGCAAACCGTTGAACCGGTTAGACAGCCAAGAGGCCCCCCATCAAATTTAAAAACAGAAAAAGATTATAAAAATTATTATGTAGCGAAAATACTTAATGATTTAGGTATATATAGTAATGAAGATTTAGATTCACATTATCCTAAAAAACCTTTTCAAAGAACAAACCAATTCGCTAGAATGGATAGAATAGAATCAAAAGTAGACGAAATTGGACAAATGACATCTTAATTTAGAAAAATGGTACTTGAAAATCAATCCAAAAAACCAGTAGTCAAATTAAATCGAACACAATGATATTATCCTTTTCAACCAATAAATTCTAGTGTTTCAGTTAATGAGGAAAGTAATGAGGGTGAATATGATGAAGAAAAAGATATATGGTACAATTCATCAGACAAAAAAAATGGATATTACCAGTAACATATAATGAATTATTTCCAAAGCTTTCACCGGTAATGCGAAAAATGTGCCAGTCTCATATAGTTCAGAAGGAAGAATCAGATGAGTGGTTTTCATCTCTACAATATCTGAATGCTAGTATAAACGATTTATCTATTTCTGAATCATTTTTAGATAATGGAAGTGAATTTGGAGCCTTGAATAATGCAGCAATTAATGCCCTTGGATGGAAAGCTGACAAGCCATCTGACTTTGATATAAAAGGTATCTCTAAACATAGCACCGAATCATTGGGATAGTTTATAAATGTGCCAGTCAGTATAAAGGATAAGGATGGTAAAACTGTTACAACTACTGGAAATTTTACACGTATTGATAATGGTGAACCTGAACCAATGTTATGTTTAGGTATGTCATGGATTCGAAAAGTTCAAGGTATTCCTGACCCGAATAAAAATCAATTCCGAATGAAATTACATGGTAAGACTTACATTATTTTAACTTTTAGCAAGGCCCCAGAAGCATTGGATCTATCAAAAGAGAAGCAAGATTTATCGTCTTAAGTATCTACCATCTCATCTAGCTCAACTAGTGAGGAAGACTTAAAAAAAAATACGTGAATTGTGAAAATATGATGAACTCGAAAAGCGACTTATAAAAACTGAAGAGTGGCTTGATATGGCTTTAAACGTAGGTAAAGTTCTTGCAGAAAGATGTTCCCAACTTACTGAGACAAAGATGGATTTATAGGTGCCAATCTATCAGTATCTTTCATTAATTTTTCAAGATCCGTCTTT